TCAAAATGAAAAAAAAAAGTAAAATTCGAAATTCTAACATCATAATCAATTTTATTTTGTCTTTAAACAGAAGCATAAGCATTATATCAAATGATCATTACAATATTCATATTGGTTTTATATAAATTCAATCATAATTAATAGTCCGATAATGTATTATACCGGGTGAAAACTTTATATTCATTACATTGAACAATACTTCTTCCATAAAATTATACTTCATCATATGATAACCCATCCAAAAAAATAGTCTGATTGATGGTAATATTTTATAATAACACGACTAACATAAATAAGTAATATTAACTAATCAAGATTTTTCCATTGTTTACAATTGTCAATAATGAGAGAAACCGAACTATGAAATAGTTAAAAATAATGATAGTAAACGTTTAAATATAATTAATAAACTAGAGTATAAAATATTTCTGTATGTACTAAAATGAAAAAATAGTTCAATGGTAACAATGAAAATTTTGAAATTGTTTGGTTAGTAGTTCGATTCTACTCTTTATCTATTAGAAAATATAATTGAGTCGATGATTATATCTACCTTGATTTCTCGACTATTACTGAGAGGATCTTTTGTATTAGCTCAGTATGAGACTCAATTTATTGAGTTTTTTTCCTCAGAAAAAATAATAAGAATATTTTTTAAGAATAGAAGAATGAATATCATTGAGTAGTACATTTAAACTCTTCATATTCTGCTAAGATTCAAATGGAGAAATGTTAAATTGTTCACTGCGTAATAAATAAAAGATGAAATAATATTTAACGATATGAAATTGATGTTATTTCTGCGAAGAGTACATTGTGTCTCAATTAACTATTATTCACTGAATAAATATAAAAGAAAGAACAAATATGCATTATAACATCTTTCAATAGAAAATTTGACTGAAGGTTTTTTTATATAGCAACTTGATTAAAAATGTAATTGACACGTACTAGTTTTGAGTTATGATCTTTTAGATATTGGATAGTAGTATGTCTTGAAATGAATAAAAACCTATTTGTACTTGAAAATAGCGGCGTATTCAAATCAAATATCGAAAAATCATACGGATTATAATTTGCTATATTAATTGAAAACAACAACAAGATTATCTGAATAATTTCTTGTAGCACAAACTCTCAAGTTTCGACCATCATCTGTATATTGATATCACTCACTGAATAAAATTTGGTTCTGACTACTCATTCGTCCTACGTGGATGATATTGTGTCTGCATTATATCAATATTTAAGTACATCCAACTCAAGTTATTGTGACATATTATATAAACTTTTAAAAATACTTTTTGTTTTTATTAAACTTAAATTGTAGCAAAGAATTTGTGTTGTATGTACTTGTAATAAACATCAATAATAAAAGCTTACAAAACTAAATTATACCTGACTTTTTTAAAATTTAACTCGTTAAAATACATAAAAGCGAATCTTTAAAAATAATTTATGAAAAGGATTCTTAATAAACATAATTTTTATTCGATATTTATATCGTAAAATTAGACATGTAAGTAAATAAATCGAGAATTTGTTATGATCATTTAATACACTGTTTATTTAAATATTTTAGATTTTAATCATAGAATTATTTACAATTCATTCCTATCGTTTGAATAATGATAATAGTAATTTGTATGATATAACGTACAATAGAAGAGTGAGAATGAATATGTAAGTAAAACATGTTTGCATAGGCTAAGATATGCAAAAATTTTCGAAATTTGATGTAGAACATGACATGGTGATTATACTAGTCGATAAACACATCGATGTCGATTAAGTTTCTTTTTTTTCACAGGAAAGAAAAGAGATGAAGCATAAGGTATACTTGATAGAACGATTGATTGCATTTCTTTTTCTTTGTTTCATCCCACCTTTCTCCATCTGTTCTTTTTCATATTTATTTCTTTTTGACTACTGAAAACTAATTCAAAAATATTCATTCATTATCATAAGTGTCAATCACGGGGTAGATTAATGAGTGTATACGTCAGCTCTTTTTCAAGATATACTTAACTGGTAAATTTATATCGATGTTAATTATGTTATTTTACTTTTAACAACAAAAAAAAAGGTCTACTATTTTGTTTATTTATTATCTCTTAGATGATCCATGATCAGGTGGATTATACGTCCCTATCAACGGCGATTTCGTTCTCGACGATCTATTATCTTTCCAATAGTGATATTTATGTTAACAACTATTCTTCTCTATACACGTGTTGAATATTATACATTGACAACAAATTATATAAATTCATCATCATTATCTTCAAAAATAACATATGATATACAAGTAATATAACTTTTCTTTTATCATATATTAATCGATATAATAGAAACGACAGGGTTCTTTAAAATTATTCCGACAATTATAACAAATATTATCTATACAAAACTCATCAATCATTTTCTATTTCGCCAGAAATCGATTCTAATACTTGTTCCATTACTTTTGTATTATATGTTATAATAAATAATTTGATTCGATTTTGTTTTAGTCTACTTCTATCAATTTCATCTGTGAATTAAAAAATGATACAATACGTGCAATTAATCAAGCACCTAGTGATTATTGTAAAGAAAAAATAAAAAATATTTCTTGCCAAATTGATTCTACACCAAATTTTTTCCCAACATCATTACCACGTTTTTGTCCCATTCGAAGTAAAATCAAATAAATTTCCGTCGTTTATTTATGATTTATCTTTCTTTCTTTTATAGAAGGTAATTTTGGTGATATAATTGGTTGTATTTCAAATGAGGATAATTCAACATATGGTACAAACAAATTAGAAGTGTTTAATACTGATATTATGTGTATAGATCACTGTTTGAAGCTTAGTGTTTCATTTGCTGGTAATGTCTGAATAAGTTTTTTTTCATAACAGAAATGAGATATAATCCTAAGCAGTTTTTTTCGTTTACACTGTCACGTTAACAAACGATACGAATTAATAAAAATTCAGACATATATGAAGTCCTTGTCAATTACGAGTGATCAGAGAAAAACTGGTTCTAACCAATATTAGACATGACCCAAACCCAAACTGTTTGGGTTTGAGTTTGGATTTGTGCTTTTTTAATCTGTGAAAGGAACTATTTTGAATACATTGATGGTAATTGAAAGTAGACCCAAACCCAAACTCAAACTCTCAAACGGTTTGAATTTGAGCTTGGGTTTGGGTCATGTCTACCCAAAACACTACTCAAAATTCTTCTTTTGTATTATCGCTGTTCGTTTTTTATACTCGAATACTGAGATAATTTTAACAATAACATTTTATCGTATATTTCAGTACATGCATATCTAAGATACTATTTCCTAATCTTTTGTGTTTTTATAGAGTATAAAGAATTTACCAATCAATGTTCTTGTTTATCAACATTTGATAATCAACG